TACTATGTGCCAGGGGCTGTTGTAAGTATTGAATACTGAGGACTTTGATGTGGACAAGACAGAAAGGGTCCTTGTATAATGGAGTTCACTCTCTAGTGGAGGAGGGCAGACAATAAGCAAACCAGACAAACAGATGAGGAAACTATTGCAGAGTGTTATGCAGAGAACTAAAATTTAAAATGTGATAAAATAATAACCAGATGCCAACTTTAAATTGAGTGATGTGGTAAAATCTCTCCAAGGACATTTAAGCTGGGGTCTCATTCTACTTCCTGTGGCTAAATGCCTTGTACTTAGAGGCATAAAGCAATTTATGTTCAGGGATCCTCCATGTCAGGAATCTGCAGGGTGTGTTGGAGCCAGGCTTGTCTCTGCCTTGCAGTGCCTGGGGCCTGGCTGGAAGGCATAAAGGCTGGGGCTGGGACCATTCGAGCATTTGCCCACTCACACATGCCTGGCAGTTGATGCTGCTGTAAGTTGAGTGGCAGCACACCTACATGGGGCTCTCCAAGCAGCCTGATCTCCTTCCATTATGGTGGCTGGGTTCCAAGAGTAAGTATCCCAAAAGAGAAAGTGAGCCAGGTGCAAGCTCTATTGACATTTGTGACCTAGCCTTAGAAAACACACCGTGTTGCTGCTGCTAGACTCTTATTGCTTACGATGATTGCCAAGATCTACCTAGTTGAACCCAAGGAAACAAAGACCACTTCTTGAAGGGGTGTCAACATCACATTGTAAGAAGAGCACATAAGATAGGATATGTATCAGTGTGACCATCTTTGAAAAATTCCGTCTGACACAGTCTGAATGTCAAGATAGAGTTAGGAACTTAAAAACCAAGGGGAAGAACATTCCAGGCAAAGGCCTAGGTAAACACCAACTTGGCACATATTTGAACCACAGATAGAAGGCAGGCAGCAGGATATGAAGAGCAAGGAAAGAGTGGTCGCAGGTAAAGTTGCACAGTGGCTGGGGCAAGATGATGACATGGCAGAACCAATTCCACTTTAGATAATAGGTAAGGAAGACTGGGTTTGTCCTGGGACTCATGCAAGCCTTCTCTGGGGAATCGCTCCTTTGGGTCAGTTTGTCGATTTTGGCCTGTCTCTAGATTCTCACATATAGTATTCCTAGTTCTTTTCTCAGCAATGCTTCCTTTTGAAGTCCCCATCCCCCAGCCTACACTGGTCCACGACTGGATTTTGGACCCTGCAGGGAGTAAACAGAAACCTTTGGTTCCTTCAGTCTTTCAAGGGCCTTTAATTTAGTTGGAGAGATTAATACACACACATGTGCATACACGCACACAGGGATATTAAATATAAGTCAGCAACATTTATGTGCAACAAGAATCAAATATGAAAATACGCAGTGTGAATCATAGGACTTAGAAGTCATATAAAGAAGACAGTGTAAAATGTCTAATAAAATGGCCTTCTCCTAGGAAGAGAGCTCATCTATTAATATTATGGCTGCATAATAATAAAAAAAAAATATGATGTGAAGCAGAGGGCAAATGGGTCCTGATGTCTACATGTGCTTACTGACAAGAAACAGCCCAGATAAATTGTGACAGGTAGTGATTAACTTAAAGTGTCTAAATATTTCTGGGCCTTGCAGAATAAAATATGTAAATCTAAGAATGGCTGTGAGTGCAGTGGAGGCCTGTAGTATGTCCCAGCATCTGTTTTCTTTTATCATTTTTTTCTTCATCTGTGTTAGATGAAGTTATGAATTCAAGATTTCACCATCCAAGTATCACAGGGACACTGTTATAGAAGCACAAGATTTGGAGTCAGGGTCCTGAGACCAAATCTCAGGCGTGCTGTCTCCTAGATGTGCACATCTGGACACTTGGCAGGATTCTTGTAAAAATGAAAGGGATCAATGCGAGAATGTAAAGTGCTAAGCCAAGAGCTTGGCACAGGGCTTGTGCTCAATAGAAGAAAGTATTGTCATCACCATCTTTGTCACCACATCACCAGTACTGTCACATTTACAACCAACTGCTTGGATAGGTACATAAAACATAATTTGGCTTCTAGTTTGATAGAACTGTGAAATAGGATCAGCACACATCCTAGTAAAGTATGGAAAATTTGAATTTTTTTCTTATAATGTGTCAGAAAAAGTTGTTCAAATGTTGGGCTTTGGTGCTTTATGTGTTCAGCTGGGGGAGAGGAGGAAGAAAAAAGGACACAGCGTGTGAACTCCGGTTGGAATTTCATATTTACTTCTGCCTAGTTAAGTGACCTTGAGGGATTTGCCTCAGTGGCTTTATCTGCAAAATGGGGTTAACAGTGCCTAGATTCAGGGAGGATTAAATGGTATGGGATTGCATTTGGAAAGTTTCAGGCACATATAGGTTCAATAACTGACAGTTCCCAGATCCAGCAGGAATTGGATAAGCTCATGCAAATCTCAAGGGAACATTTCAATACCTTTATAATACTGAGCACCTAGTTAAAAGCAGCTGGCCCTAGAAGTTAATCCAAACAGCATAGTTAAGTCACTGCTCAGATGATCTGAGCCATAGTGTCACTTAGCACAAAACCCCATAACAATATAATAGAGCAAAGAGAATCTCTAAGAATGTATAGGCCACTCTACTAACAGAAACCATCATATCAGTGGCTAATTCCTAAAACAGGCCAAATCTGTCCCTGCCCACATTGCTCTCAGGGTGGTGAATAAAATAACTGGGGTCCACATCAAACGGATTGCCTATGTAGAATTTGTCTCCTTGTCACAGTCAAAGTGGCTTTGTAGCTTGTTTCTGTCAGTCACCTTAATTCCTACACCAGGAGTCATGACTATGGCAATCCTTCTGGATGGTAGGGTCTCAAGAGCTTTGGCTTCAACATCTCGGCCACCAGCCAGTCCTCCATGGGGCACGGGGTGGCATCTGCTCTGGCTTGGCCAGCCTGACAGGAGAAGCACTGAGGAAGAGAGTGGGGTGAGGTAGGTGGCCTGCAGGGGAAGCCCCTGTCTATGGGAGGGTCTGGGGAGATGGGCAGTTTCTCAGGAAAAGCAGGAGGCAGAACTGACTGCCTGGAAGTTCTGAGAGGAACAGGAGGCTGCTGCAGCACTTACAGTAGTGAAGATCTGGAATCAACCAGAATGCCCGTCAACAGGAGAAGGGCAACTAAACAGGGTGCATCCTTGCTGTTGTAGAATATTAACTTGTCATTAAACAGTTAGATACAGCCCAGTCTTTACACACAGGGGGCCATTGGTGCTTCAAGGAAAACATGGTGTGCAGAAGCATGTGTGAAAACCACCTCTATAAGTGTGCAAAGAATAGAGGCTTACATTTTATGATTATCTGTTGTGCCAGGGACTGTGCCAAGTCCTTCTACTAGGGTGTTAGTGAATTTGAATCTCACAACCTGACGCATGTGTTAGGTATTTCCCTGGAGAACCAAAGACATTTAGTAGAAAGGGGAGGAAGGTAAAACCCTCTCCTCCACTCTCCCTATGTCTCTCTTTCATTTGTTTTAAAATGCATGTGAACTAGCTGAACTTGTTTGGCTATGTCTGTCCAATTACTGGATTTAATTTGTGTTGTCTGACAGCTTTTCAAAAGAAAACAGCTTCATTGAATCCTCGGGGCCCACACACAACTCACACTAAAAACTAAACAGAAACGAGGCACCACTCACTACAAATACCAGGAAAAGCCTTTTTCTCAAAAAGTACTTTTTCGAAGCCTTAAGTGAAATATACTGCTTAATAAAACCCATACTCGAGTGGAGAATAAAGGCAGAAAAAAGACAAGCAGAATAAACAACTCATGTTCCAAGAGTTCAATTTCAAATTAAAAAAATGTACCCTTAGCTGGCTATATTAAAATGTCCTTTTATAGAAAATAAATCAGTATAAATCCCAGATAGTGCCTGTTAATTCTTATTATTTATAAAATATTGAAAGTGCACAGGAGCTTCAGGGCCATGTACAGGTTGTGATTTCCCTCCTTGAAAAGCTCTGCTTGTTTACAGATGAATCTGTATCCAAGACATTAGGTCTGCTGTGGATTCACCAAATGCCACATTTCAATGGAGCATTGGTTTGAAAATAACCAGTGAAATTAGGTAAGTTTTATAGATTAATTTTGGTACAAAACAGACATAGTTTGAGTTGTTCCTGATTATATAAAAGCAATTTCTTGTCAGTGTAAAACAGACTATTATAAAAAGGACATAGGACACATTAGACATAGAAATTACCCTTAGTTCTACTCTTGGAACAAGTTCTAATATTTTGGTATTTTCCTGTCTATCAGATAGTGCCAGTTTATTATTATTACTTAGAAAATATTGGCAGTGCACAGGGAACTTAGGGCCTTGTGCAGTAAAGATCATGACCCCGCTCCACTTGAAAGGCTTCAAGCAGCTATAGAGTAGCAAATTCAAAGGCACCATTAGATGGATAAGTACCTTCAACAAAAATGCCAAAACTGGCCTAAAGAAGAAACAGATAATTCGAATACATCCATGTGATTTAAACACAACACAAATTCATGATCAGAACTCTTAGAGAACTAGAAATAGTGGGAAATTTACTTAAATGGATAAAGATTATTTCAAATAAAAGCTATAATAAGCATTATACTTTAGAGTCATTCTCTGTAAGACAGAAGCAAGACCAACCACAATAAGCTAAAGGAGAAACAAAGGAAGAAGGATGGAGGTTAGGAGGAATGGTAGATTATATTCTTATTTCCAATTATTTCTTACACCTTTGCTGCAGGAGGGCTGCCCTTGCCTGCCCAGTGCCATGGGGGTTGCAGAACCTTCCTCTGGGAAGAGGACACTTTTTACTCTATTAACCATGGGCTTGGTTAATGGATAGGAAGAGATTTGACAGTGCCAGTTCTGAGTGGAAGCTTTAACAGCCCTGGTGTTGTGATTTTCCTCTGCTGTGAGATCGGTGTGTCCTTCAGTTGGCTGCTTCCTCAGCCTGATTCCAAAATAAGAAAACACACAGAGCAGAGCTGTGGAGACATTTATTTTTGTTGTTGTAAGTCAGAGTTGTGGCAGTCATTTGTTATCAAAGCTTAACTTCGTGAAAGCTGACTAATACAGAAAGTTAGAGAGAAAACTGTCTTCATTTGCAAATGATATGATCATTAATCCAGAAAACCCAACAGATTCCAAAGACAAGTAATAGAACCAGTAAGAAAACTAAGTAAAATTGTTGGGTACACAATTTGCAATATTGCACTAGCAACAGCCAATCAGAAAAACGTAACAAATAACAACTCATCTTTTCCAGTACCAAGAAGTCTATTTTAAATATATAGAAATTAATTATGTTGATAAGACAATGTAAAAGGCATGGTGGCACAAACCTGTAATCCCAGTGACTTGGGAGGCTGAAGCAGGAGGATTGTGAGTTCAAAGCTCCTTAGCAATTTAGCAAGACTCCATCTCAAAGTAAAAAATCAAAATGGCTGGGGATGTGGCTCAGTGGTAAAGTGCCCCTGGGTTCAATTCCTAGTACCAAAAACAAAAACCCCAAACACAAACCCAGAACCCTTTAAAATAATGATAAAGAACATTAAAAAAGGATATGAATAAGTGTAGAAAAATCCTATGCTTTTGAATAATAATGTACTAGAAAGGCATAAATTCTCCCATTTAATCTATAAATTTAATACAATGCCATAAAAATACTACTCAGATTTCTTTTTTCTTTTGAGGAATATAATCGACTTCTTTAAAATTTATCTGGAGAAATAAATGTTTATAAATGTCTGAGTTGAGCTTAAATAGAAACATCAATAGAAGGGGAGCTTTCCCTACTAGATATTAAAACACCCGTCCAAGGAATAGCACCAACAACAGGGGTACATTGGTGGAAAAAAACAAAACAAGACACCCCAGGTAAATGCACCCCCCAAAAAAAATAGGTCAGAGGACTCAGACACAGATCTCTATGTTGGGTGGAACTTAAATGTTGTAAGGAGGGACAGTATCACAAGTCAACATCAGCAGTGCTCATGGGGACAATAAGGCAGAGACTAAACTGCTTGCTCATCCACAGGTAGACTCCTCCTGGATTAAAGACTCAAAGGGCAAAGGTCTGACCCTGCAGGGAGAGGAGCAGGAAGTAGAAGAATATCTTGGTGACCTAGGGGCAGGGAAAACCTTTTCAAACAAAATTTCAAAAAGCACAAATCATAAGGCAATGCACTGATGGCTTTGAGTCCCTAAGTAATAAGACTTTTCATTTAGGGAAGACATTATAGACAGATTTGTCACACAGATAGCAGTGTGGGGAAAATGTTAGAAATGTCTAAAACCCACAAGAGCTAAGCAAAGAACACTAGTAACTGTTACCATTCAACAAGATAAAGGCAGCAAGCCCAATAGAAAAACAGGCAAGGATACAAACGGGAAATTCACAGAAGAGGAAACTCAAAATTACTACTGCACATATGCAGAGAAGTGATGGCCCAAGTCATCAGTAATCTGACACATACAAATTTTAAAAAACGTTGACTTGTTACACTTATTAGGCTGCCAAAAGCTAGAAAGATGGAAAAGGCCAAGTGTTGGTGGAGATGTGGGGATATAGGAACCCCACCACTGCTGGTGAACAATGGCATCCTTTCTGGAAAGCATCTAGCACTACTTAGTGAAGTTGAGAATATACATATGCTATGACCTTGCAATTCTACCCCTAGGGTTGTATTGAATAGAAAAACTTGCATGGATACTTAAGGGGATATGCATGGGGATATTCATTGCAATTTTGCTTGTAGTTGTGTAGACTTGGGAGCAACCTATGAGTTCACTTAGGGAGCAGATAGATGAATGTTGAGGACATACACTTTGGACTGCCCAGCAGCATTTAGAGGGAACAGTCAGAGGTACACATGGCACTGTGGGGCAGATGGTGGACCTTCAGAACTGCCTAGGGAAAAAAGTAAGATCAATGAAATGCAGGGTAGTTTCACATACTTTTAAAAACATATTACAGGGCTCGGGATGTGGCTCAAGCGGTAGCGCGCTCGCCTGGCATGCGTGCAGCCCGGGTTCGATCCTCAGCACCACATACAAACAAAGATGTTGTGTCCGCCGAAATCTAAAAAATAAATATTAAAGTTCTCTCTCTCTCTCTCTTTAAAAAAAACATATTACAAAATAATACCTATTTTGCAATATGCATCTACAAAAACAAACAACAACAACAACAACAAAAACCTACACAAGAACATATTAACACTTCAGAATGATTGACTAAGGTGGGGATGGAGTCCAAAGAAGCACTGAAAAAACCCATTCTTGAGCCCATACCCAGAGGTGATAGCAACTGACCTTTGTCTCTTGTCATATTCCATGATAATAATGACTATCATCAGAGATCAGGTACTGGGGGCCAGGTGCTATGCTAAGTGCTTAATGCACTGTCAATTTAATCCCCATGACAACTTCAGGAAACAGTCCATCATTATTTCTTTTAAATACAAAAAAGTGAGACTGATGAAGATTGAACAACCTGCCCAAGGTTGTCCAGCCAGGCAGAGGATGAATTTGAATCCATGTCAATCTGGTACAAAAGTCTAGGCACTTAATTGCCTCTCTGGGTTGCTTCTATCCAGATTTTAAGCTGTGTGATAATTCAAAACAAACACTTCCTACTACAAGACTGAAATCACACCACAACACTGCTTCATAAAATGCAATTTTTAAAATTTAACATTTAACCATCTAATTAATGTCTTCATATTAGTAAATGCAGGTCCTCAATCATATTTTAAAATGCCATATAGTATTTCAATGTCTGAGTTATAGAGAAATATAATAGTGGGGAATGATTTCTATCTCCAAAGGTCAACAATAAACAATGAAAAATAAAAACAAAATAAAAGCATCTCCACATATCTCAGACATGTATTTACTGAAGAGGATTTTTTAAAAGAGGATTGTTTTTTTTTTTTGTACTAGGGATTGAACCCAGGGCACTTTGCCACTGAGCTACATCCCCAGCCATTTTGTGATAGGATCTTGTGAAGTTGCTTAGGGCCTCGCTAAGTTGCTGAGTCTGGCTTGGAACTTGCAGTCCTCTGCCTGTGGAGTCCCTGGGATCATAGGCATGCACCCCTGAGCCAGGCTGAACTACTAAGAACCAAGAGATAATGCACAAGTTTTTAACTTAATCGAACTCTGGAAATATGCAGAGGATGGATTTTGGTGATCCTGAGAACAGAATTGCCAGATGCAATTATTTTTATTTAAGGGCAGTGGTTATCTTTTAAGAAGATAGACTTTTGGATGATGTTGAAAGATGCTGGAGGAAGGTGATAAATTTCACTAATGGATTAATCTTAACTGTTTAAAACTGACAGTGTCCTCAATGAACTTTCTGGGCATGGCACAGGCACTAACTCTTCTCTGGTAGATGACAGCAGGTTTGAAGGATTGAAGCATGAGAGAAGGGAGATGTTTATCAGCCTGTGTTAGTTTCTCTTAGTAAGAAACATGGCTTGGAACAGAGCTTTATGCTTCTCCAGTGGGTAGCACAGCTGTTGGCCCATCTGATCCTTCCTAGAGCAAATGAGATAGAGTGGGTAAATGACATTATCACCTCCTTGAAGATGAGAAAACTGAGGCTCTAAAAATGTAGGAGATTTCCCCAAGTTCACTGCAGTTTACTCCCTGGGAACTCCAAGTCCAGTGCTCTTTCTACCACTCCATACTTCTTTTAAGCCAGGAGGGAAACAGCATTACTTACTCTACATTATACAAAATCATTCATTTTTCTGATGTAGATGTAGCAGGGAATATGAGAACTGATTTCCATGCACATACAGATGAACTTGCACCGTGGTACACAAGCTAATGTGCAAACTGATGTTTTAATAGCAGAAGGGCAGCCCAGTGGGCAATAACTCCTCTTCACACCTACACAGGCAAAATTTGCTAGAGAGGAAAGATGTGGGAGAGGGTGGGATATCCATACTAGTTTTAAAAATTATTTTTAATTGGTGAATTATAATTATACATAATAGTAAGCTTCATTGTGATGTATTCATACCTGCACACAGCACAATTTGGTCAATTTCATTCCCCTATACCCCTTCTTTCCCTCACCTCCTCTCTCCCCCTAATCATTATCTTCTACTCTATAGGTCTCCTTTCTATTTACATGACCCCCCTCCCCCCTTATCTCTAGCCTCCACACATGAGGGAAAACACTTGACCCTTTGACTTTCTGAGTCTGGCTTATTTCACTTAGCATGATGTTGTCCAGTTCCATGTATTTTTGTTTTGAAGCACATGGGGTGGGGTTTATCCCAAAGGCCAAGTTTTAAAGATTTTGTATTTTGATTTCTCTGTTGGTTCAACAATGGCCATTCACTTCACTGTGATGTCATGGAATAAAATAAAACCAACAACAATGCAGGTTTCCTTCAGATCACAACCCGAAAGCAGTTCTAGAGAAGCCTGTGATGCCAGCAATGACAGTCCATTCAAAACAATTTGTTCAGTAACCCTGCACCTTTCAGTTAGTTATCTTGCAAACTGAAATACCTGAATTACTATTTGGTAAACAGAAGATTGTAGCTGATATATCAGATTAGAGGTGCAAAGTACTTTCACAACAGAGGGGACAGAAAGGTCCCAGTGGGCTGGGTGTGGGAGGGAGAGCAATCTGAATTGGACCTTCAGGCCTGGAAAGAGCTTCTTAGACAGAGAGGGAGGGAGGGGCAGGATGGGTTATGACAGCGCAGAGGTCAGAGGTGAGGCCATTGATAGTTTCTTCAGCCTGTCCCTGTTGGGTCCCCATGGTAAGAGGAGGGCTCTTTGAATGCCTCACACCCTGTCCCCACCTGTTCCCTCTGCTTGGCAATCATGGTTTACTCCCTTCCTGAATGTTGATGGAATTCATCTGTAAAAGTGAACCTGCGTAATCCTTAAGGGATATTTAAACTGCAAATTCATTTTCCTTAATAGTAATAGTGTAATGTTCTGTTTTCCCAGGATTGGTTTTTGCAATTTTGACACCTCATTTTACCTATATTTTCAAATTTAACATAATTCTGTTTATACTATTCTCATCTTGTTGTATTTTTAGAATGTTTAAAACTTTATTATGTAATTTAAAGAAAATAACATTTAACCATTTTAAGTGTAAGGTTCAGTGAGTTTTGATAACTGCGCTCAAGCAAACAACACTATACTAGGCTGGAAAATACTCCGATTGCCTCAAAAAAAATTGCTCATATTCTTTTGTGTTTAATTCTTGTATCTAGACAGCCACATATCTGTTTACTACAGTTTTACCTTTTCCAGAATTTAATATAGTTAGAATCATGATATTTGTTTTTTGTTTCAGGATTCTTTTAACTAGTGCTATGGTTTGAATGTGTTCACAAAAAGTTCATGTGTTAGAAACTTGATCCCAAATTCATATGCAATGTTTTTGAAGGTCGAATCTTTGAGAGATAATTAGGATTAGATGAGGCCATGAAGGTGTGGTTCCCATTATGGCATTAGCAGTTTCATAAGAAGAGGCAAGAGCGTCCTGCCCTCTGCCTTCTACGATGCAGTATGAAGGCCCTCACCAGCTTTTGATGTCCTTGTTTGATACTGATGTGGTGGTATGGCACCAGCTGGGCAGAAGCTGGTGCCATGCTCTTGGACTTCCAAGTCTCTAAAACTGTGGGCCATATGAACTTCTGTTCTTTATAAATCACTTGATCTAAAGTATTTTGTTATACAACAACAGCAACAACAAAATACAGACTAAGAAGTTAGTATGATGTTTTCATCCATGTTGCTGTGAATATCAGTAGTTTATGTTTCTTTATGGTGTAGAAGTATTCCATTAAATGGATATATCACTTTGGTTTATCCATTCTCTAGTTGATGGGAACTTGGGTTGTTTCCAAATATTTGGCTGTTATATATAAAGACTGCTGTGAACACTGTGTCTTTGTGTGAATATGCCTTTCATTTCTCTTGGGTAGATAATGAGGAGTGGAATTTCTGGCTTACGTAGAAAGTACATGTTTAACATTTTGAAAAATTGCCAAACTGTTCTCCAAAGTGGCTATATCATTTTAATTTCCATCAGCAATACATGGGAGTCCGAATTCCTTTACATCCTTGTCACCACTTGATATTATCAGATTTTCTCCCTATAATTTTAAGAATTGAAGGTGGTCTAATATATCTTTAGGCAAATCTCGTTTTGGTTTTACTGATCACTGATATTGGGTATTGCTCCTGTATCTTCTTTGTGAGGAATATGTCCAAATCATTTGCCCATTGTTTATACATATGCCCATTTTAATTTTTATTGGATTGTTTTCTTATTGAATTATAAGAGTTCTTCATATGTTCTGTATGTGAATCTTTTGTCAGACTCTTATCTTTTTTAATGTCTGTACAATATGTTAATTATGCTCCCTTTTGTATTTCTAATATTATTTATTTGTACTCGTCAACTTGTCATTACATGTATTATAGTTTGTGTATACACACACACACACATATAGTTTGTATTCCACCTTTGTGGAATGTACAGATGGATTTCACCATCATTTTGATAATAATAACAGAAAAAGGAGTCATTCCTTCTTATTAAGGGAGCTATTTTCTCAGGCATGTGGCTTTGAAACTAACAATAATATATACTTGCATATATATATATGTATACACACACACATATATAGACATATATAATACATAATTATATATATATATATATATATATATATATAGAGAGAGAGAGAGAGAGAGAGAGAGAGAGAGTAAAGATTTTTGTTTGCTTAATTGGGCTTCTAGAAGAACTCTTGACCCCATACCCTTTAAATTTCTTTTTATTGTTTTTTTGTCCCAAAAGTTTTATGACTATGTCCCTAAATTTGTGTGATTGCAGTATTATACCTGTATACATAGAAATTCTTAGAGAGTCTCTCTCTCTCTTTAAATATACCATCTGAGGCCTTAACCCATCAGGCATTTCTTCCCAATCTCCCTCTATTGGATAGTTGTTTTCAATTATAAGTGTCATGACTGTATAAGTACTCACTCACCTGTTGGCCTACTTGGCTCAGATCTCATAATTTACCCTCATCTCCTAGAGGAAAGGACTTTTAAAATCCAGATTCTAAGACAGCAGGAATTTGCAGACAATCCCATGGCAAACACTTCTTCACCGCTTGCTTACCCTGCTGGACTTATATTTTCAGCCTCCAAGGAATTCCTTTATATTTCTGCCAGTTGAATGTGCATGCATTTTATATCTGAGTCCAGCACTTATAGGTATGCTGAACCAGTTTGGGGTTCTCTGAACATCCAGTCCAACTTTGACTCAGAACAGAAGTCTCCAATGTTGTTTGGGGTATCTTAAGTTTCATGTGGTCTTGCCTTACTCAAAAGCTAATAGTAATTTTCTATCGCATTCAGAATGACACTCAAAGTTCTCATCGTGGCTTATCAAGCCTGGCAAAATCTGACTTCCTGTTACCTCTCCAACATCCTTTCACACTTTCCTTCTCATTCATCCAAACATACTGGCCTCCTTGCCAATGTTCCTTGCCTGTGGCCAAACATACATGCTCAATCCTCAGGGCCTTTGTGCTTACTTTCCCATCTACCTGGAACTCCCTCTGATTATTCATATAACCATATTGCATATTGTATATTCATTTTGCAGTTTCAATTAATTCATTTTGGTCTCACCTCTTCTGGGATGTCATATATTACTTATAAAAACACATTCTTCATCCTTCTTCACCCTCTTCTCTACTTTCTTCTTTACGACATCTGACACATATTTATTTATTTGTGTTTGTACTTTTGCTTTCCAAAATGCAATCACCATGAAAGTTCATCTACTTCATTCATTGCTACCATCTCAGTGCTCACAATAGTACTGAGTACATGAAAGGTGCTCAGACCTTTGTGGAATGTACAGATGGATTTCACTATCATTTTAATAAAAAATAATGGAGTCATTCTGTCTTATTAAGAGAGCTATTTTCTCAGGCATGCATCTTTGAAAGTAACACTAAAAGAATATCATGTAACACATGGAATCGTTTATTTTTATTAACGAGTGCATTTAGCTTTTGCAAAATGCACAATTCTCAAGCAGCTGCTTAAAAATGAGGCAATCATTTCCAAGCTGTTTCCTGAAAGTACATTTGATAGTGCTAAATATTTATTAAGTGCTGGGATGCTACATTAGGTGCTGGTGAAGAGGCCATATTTCAGTCTAGCCAGTATGGGTCCAGAGAACACATGGAAGAGATGTGGGTTTGGCCTGATCCCCTTTCTGAGAGCCCTGAGGTGATTTTAGAGAAAGGAGAATTATTGTGGGTTGAGTGTTACAGTGGTGCCAAGTGTTCTGCCCATTTCATTTTTTTCTTGTTGCAAAGATAATTTGGATAAGAAGGTAGCAGGGAAACCTTTCCAGGGTTGTCTTGCTGTTCCTGGAACAGGATGCTTAGATGCTTCTAAGTTGTAAGAAATCTAAGAACTTCATATGACAAGCAAGCCAGATATTCCCGAAAATTCTGACTGAACTGGCTCACCAAGGAGCAGCTGAAGTGTGTTTCTGGGATGTGCCTTCATGATTGCTCTCCTGGGTCCTTTGGTTCCTCTGAGTCCTGCATTATTTTGGGACCCAGTTGCTTCCAACTACAGGTCATCCTCCCAGGCCACAGTGACATTTCATACACTCTTAATAGTGTTGCATAGCTTCCATCAATCTCCAGTTACCTGCTCGTCTTTATCCTCTGTCTTGTCAACCACTTGCTTGAAAACACTCTGAGGCTCCATAAAGCTAGTGTTTCAGCCTCATGATTTACCCTCCCTTTGCTTCTTTGTGTAAGTCCAGCTCTTCAACCTGTTACTCTGGTCAGCCCTTGTAGAGCTGAATTGTCTACCACGCCTAAAGTGAATAGTAGGAAAAAGCCATACAGGTGGGGTAACAGCCTGCAGTGGAGAGCTACACTCAGCTTAGCATGGAGCAGTAGAGGCCCCCTGGGCTGAGTGGGTGGGATATATGGAAGAGTGAAAGTTCCTGGCCAAGGCTGAGTGATACTGGCTCCAGACTTGGCTTGAATATAAAAATTGACACTAGCTGCAAACCATAGTGGATCATTTTACCTGTGCATTTAGGAAAATATCTCAGAGACAGTATTCAAAAAAATCAGTACTATACAGGGTGCTTTAACCAGAGTAGGAGCATGCCAGGCAAGTGTTCTACCACTGAGTTACTCTGCCCAGCCCCCTACCAGATGGAATTCTATAACCCAACCGAGTAGCTGTGGTCTCACACAAATGAGGAATATGGGCTCTTTACAGTTTGTATATGAGAAGATATGAGATACAGCTTATATTTTAGCATATCTACCTACCCAGTATATTTATACAATATGTACACATATAGATATATATTACAGATATGTACACATTTTGCAAAAATCTAATTTAATTTAATAAAAACTTACTGAGCATTCAGTATGTGCCAGACAATCCTCTAGAATACAACATGGATCAGAAATAGATCTTACCCTCAAGGAATTCAGTGCAGTTAAATGAAATACAGACTCATTTCTTTACTCCTTCTTGGCAACGGTGGGTCCAATTTCTAAGACACAAGAAGGGCTAAGCCATTCATTTATTGCTTTTGTAACCACATTGCTTTCCAAAGTATTATTTGGCTTGGGTTGGTTGGTAAGTTACAGTTCGGCTTTTTCTTCTTCTTCTTTTTTTCTTTTTCTTTTTTTCTCAATAAGCTTTTAGCTGAAAACAAAAAATTCAAACTCTGTAACTAATTTAAATAATTAAATTATTGGTTAAGGTTTCTTCTATTTTGGCATTTAAGATGGAAATTTTTTTCATTTTGTGGAGTGAAAGTCTGCTTAGTGTTAGATGTTTAAACTAGATTCAGTTCATCTTGGTTTTACTTATCACATATCAGTTTAAAAAGTGTGTGTGTGTGTGTGTGTGCGCGCGCACACACGCACATGCGCATGTGCACACAGAATGAGTGGGGATTACAGGAGAAACAAAGAGTAACATGTCAAAGAACTGATTCATGTCCCAGAGATAATCTTTGAAGGCAGAACATGAACTGAGAAACACACTTAGTGGAAGCTAATCTCTCTAATCTCTTTCTCTGAATAATGAACTTCCATTCACCCAAGAGTCACTGAGTGCCGACTATGTACCAGGCCCTTTGCTAAGCACTGAGGAATATGTAATATAATAAGGAAACTCATTGTATAAACGTATATGGGGGAAGAAGTAATGGGGGCACGGAGAAAGAGAAGATCTAAAAAACATCCATATGGAAAACTTCATGACTTTGATAGAACTTTTCATCTCTGTTTGATGGGTTGTGGTCAGGGTCCTGTCAGCATTTAGCTGAGTGGCCTTGGGCCAGCCACGCTGCCTCTCTGAGCTTAATGTCTCATCTGACAAAAATGGACTATGTTTGCTAGAGGAAAATGTCTACATGAGAAAACAAGTCAAGCAGAAGACCATATAGCAGGACTGCACTCCTCCTGAGTGGAGAATCCTCTAATTCTTCTTGTTGCCCATTTTGCACTTGTAATAGTAAGTCTAAACCTAGGTTCATGGATGAAGACTTTTGTTTTCCAAATTTGGGGGTACTCTTAAGATCATTGGTAAAGTTTTTGGTGTATATGTGCAAACATATTTCTTTAGTTTCACAGTTTTTATTAAATTCCCAAAGGGGTCCATGGCTAAAGCCTGCTGGTCTAGGCAGAGCTTTTTGGGGGGGTGCAGGAGTTGTCTTATTTATCTTGTAACCCAGTACTTATGGCACAGTGCCCTTCACATAGTCAGGGCTCCTAAATTTATCACATTAATAAATGTAAAAATGGATATGTTATTATAATGACAGAAATTAACATTCAAAACAAGTCTGGCTTCATCCTAAGGGTGAAACATCAAATTCTGATGAAACCTGTCACTGGTCATCAAATAGGAAGAGGTGCCAAATTTAGAAGGCCTGCCTACTGTACAGTTTTAAGCAATTGTTTTTAGAAGTTCATTATTTCTTTGCTTATGTTTTCATCTAGCTTGGGGAAGCTCCTTCTCTCCTCTTTGTTGAACTTGCAGATGGTTTTGTTTGTTTGATTGTGTCAAGGTTGAAGGCTGCTCAGTCATGCGAGCCTCCTAAACACTTTTCTGAACACATGGAAAGGATCTGATGAGCATATGCATCTGCCGGGTGCGGGCTTGGCTGGACAGCAGAGGCAGCTTTGAAGGAGCAGACACAAACCATTCAGTAAGTTGCTTATGTCTGCTCTGACTTGATGTTTCTTACCCAAATGTAAATGTGCTAATACTAAAACTTTCCTGACACGGTTGCCTGAGGTTGTAAAGTTTAGACATTTACCTGACAGTAAGGATGATGGTAACAGGAGGAGCTCAGCCTGTCAAATTACATCACAACTGGAGGCAAAAGTATAAGATTGTCCATGGCATCATTACTGTAATAATTAAAAACAAAAACAAAACAACTAGCTGTCCTTCAATAGGAGACTGGTTCAAAGAATTATCACATACCCTAACAATAAATTCAATAGAATGAGGTAGTTGTAAAGTGTTAAAGTTGTATAGACTAAGATACATTTTCAAGTGAAAAGTTTATTGTTTTTAGAAAAGCATTTTTTAAAAATATTTATGAACTCATTTGACATAGAAAAAAGAGTGCAGTAAATCTCATATACTTCACCCAGTTTTCTCAATGGTATTTGAAATATATCTTATGCAACCTACTAAAGTAGGTTGTAGAACTGTATACATGGTAGAATCCTATTGTGTAAAAGTAAAAATAAATACATCAAATTATCAGTGCTGAATATCTCTGGAGAATGGGAAATAATATGCAGCAAGGGAGGAGAAATGAGGGACTTAACATTTTAATTTATAAATATGTGTACTACTTAATGTAGCTATTTCAATGTGTATTTATATAGATGTATACATATTGATATGTAGATAAAGATATATACATCTATATATATACACACACACATATACATACATATATACATTTATATATTATATATAACTTTTGTTTTTTAAAATCTCTCAAATAATGAATTTGAGAATAATTCCTATGATGGCAAATCCATGCAAATTAATTCAGATTTTAAATAATGAGTTATTCCAAGATTGACAGATTTTAAAATAAAATGGAAGCTATAATGCAAGACTGTATTATGACTGCTTGATGCCTACTCTTCTAGAAGTCACCAACATAGTCCTCAGAGAATGTGTCCTGTGAGACGGCTTTGCTCATGAACCACAGAGTGTAATTCCTGTGATTTCATGGATGGCTGGACCCTGTAGGCAAGTCTCGAAGTACATTCTTGGAAGCCAAAATATAAGGTAATTGTTAAGGCCCTTAGTTTCTATATTTCAATGTAAATTTATTGGTAGAATTATGCTTTGACCATTTCTCCCTAAGCCAACTTTTGGATGGGCTAGAACCACTGGTAGCTGGAGCTGAAATCCGGCCTTGGTATGCAATCTTGACTATTTTAAGCTCTCTGATTCCCCATGTGCTTTTTATCAACCTTTCTCCATTCTGCAACTATTTGAATTATCTGGTACATGATCAAAAATGCATTCCCAGCTGTATTGTACCAGTCAGTCATGGGTGACGGGGCCTTCCCATATCATTTCTCCTTAAGCTTCAGTGTACGTATTTGTGCTCTTCGTCCTATCTATTTGGAATGGTCCCAAATTCCACAGGCTGTTTCATGGTGGGGGAGGTAGGGTGGCAAAGGGAAAGTGAAGGAAGGCCACTGCTACTGGACAACCAGGGTGTATAATGTAACCCTCAATTGGTCACTTCTAGTGTATTAAATATTTGTTTATTGAGTAATTTCTCTCTGGCACATTAGGAGGTTGTTAATGTTAGAGAGGAGTAATTGCTGTTTCTGTGATTAAGTTGAAATGAACACAGGCACATAGTTAACAAGACATGGTATTTATATGATATTTGTAAGTTATATAAATAAATTTTCTTCCTTGAATGTTAACCAGAGGCATATGAATCATTCATAGTGTTTATGTGACTGAATGAATGCTGATTTCTTAAGCAAAATTAGCAAACAAATTGATTCATATGAAGAATACTGTCATTTCTACTTTCCATGTTGCAGAACAGTCACAATTAAAGGAAACTGAAAAATATCTTCTTCGAGTTCCATTAGCAACATTCCCATTCCCTGAAAGACACACATAGACATGCGCAGACACATATGCTCAGGTTTCTGTTATAACTTCATCCATGTGTTGCGTCAGTTCATCCATTAAGCCAATATTTACTGCCTGCCGTCCATGTGCCAGACTCTGTGTACCAGGCTGAGGATACAATGGTGAGCAAAAATAGACTCAGGCTCTGTTCTCAGAGGTTTTACACACTCTAGGGTGGAGGTTACCATTAATGAAGCATTATTCAAATAATTATATAATTTCTGACTAAGTTGAATGCTCTGAAGGAAAAGAATAGTTTCTGGAGAATGTAAAAGCTAAAAGCCTGATCTAACCCAGGAGGCATAGGATAGGAAATCCTGCAAAACTGCTGCTTGAATTGAAATCAGAAAGATGACTAATGGTTAACTGGTAGAAGTGAGTGAGTGACTGACAAGTGAGTGTGTGGCTGGTGAGTGTGTATTTGTGGACAGGTGTATGCATGGTGAGGATGTGTGGGGGGCATATGTGTATGTGGTGTGTGTGTGTGTGTGTGAATATGCATATGTGGTGTGACTTTCCAGCACTGGTACTATATGTAAAGGCTCTGGAGTGGCAGGGAGGACAAAGTGTCAAGGAATTGAAAAAATGACATTTAGGTAGACCACAGAGAAAGAGGGTCAAGTTGTTCAGGTTGAAATTAGAAAAAGGAAGGTCCAAATGTTCAGGGCTTTGGAAACCATGGCAAGAAATATATATAAAGGGACAACTTTGAAGAATTCTAAGCATGATTAGATATGATCCCCTTATCTTACCCCTGAAACACACTACAACAAACAAACAAAAATGCCCAAAAGTCATTGAGGGAAATGTTTAAATATTTTAAAAACAAGTCCATTAAAATCATCCCACATTCTTGTTCAGAGTCTTATGTACAACCATGGTAAAACAACTTCCAAAGATGTTTCAAAAATGAAACATTCATTTATTTATGTGAACTATTTATCAAAGAGTTCCTTCACGGAGCTCTTTATGAAAATGAGACACTTAAACATATGTACATGTCTACCCTGCAGACATCAGGAAGGTGGCTACAAAATTCCCAGCTGGACCTATAAGGCTGCCCAGCTTGGTGCCTGGTTTGGTCCTCTGTAGTGCTCGTATTAAAGTTGCTAGAAGTCCACTTCTATGGGGACAAATGGGAAAATCAATAGATACTGGATGTGTAATGCACTGAGTTAGAACAATGCCAATTCCTGCGGACATTTCTGGACCTCCAAAACATCGTTGGTATAAGAGAATTCCTTGCACGTTCACTCTGTTATCTGATTCACAAAGAATTCCGATGATTAAGATGTGTTTTATGTGACTTCTGCCTTGCAGGAGCATTTGGCCTAAGAAAACACCACAGCCTGTCAATTGTTTTCATGAGTTGCCCACTTTCTGCAGAGGCACCCACTTCAGAAAGCCAGTATGCTATAGTCAAGCCTGGTGCCTGGTGTGACTGAGAGCTTATGTTATTTATTCAATCACCATAGCTTTATGGTTTGAGAATGTTGACAGTGACACGCATCCACCAGTCACCATGGCAGGGATTCAATAGCCCACTGTGCCACAGAAGGGCACGTCTTGGCTCTAGAGAATGAAGACTTTCCAAAACTTGTAAATGAACCCTTTGTGAGCTCAGCCCAAACATCCATGTCACAGAAATGAACATCCCAAATAAGACCCATCGCAGGGGGCTGGCTGGCCAACAAATTCTGAACAGGGAGATTGAAGAAAAAGGAAAACATGCTTCATATACATGTATGAAAACAGTCTCCTCTATTACAGCGTTTGAAATCAGGACAGTCAAATGACAGCAGGTCTTTGAGAACAGTCATATAAAAGGAATTTTATTCCTGATTTGTAAAACAATAGTGTCTGACTTTAGCAACAAATCTGAAGAGAATCACTTTGAGAGTCAAGAATAGAAGAACCCTTAACTCTGAAAGAAAGTGCTCCTTATGAATATTAATCAGATGGGCCACACAATTCTGTAAAATAGGAAAGCTGTTTCAACCCAACTGGGCAAGTCAATTGACAGCTGTAAATACCTGTGTACCCAGATCAGTGTTAGGAGCAGAGGTGTTTTTTTTTTTTGTGTGTGTGTGTGTGTGTGTGTGTGTGTGTGTGTGTTGGGGTGTAGAGAGTGGACACATTTGTTCATGAGCAGGAAAAGCACTCCCTCCACCACAACCAGTTATTTTTTTGACAGAATGGATGAAACAGACTGCTGTGATGTCATGGAAACCTGGCTGTGGAAACCTTACAGAAACACCAGGAGATAAGGGATGAAGTCGTGAAGAAAGCATCACAGAGAGACTGCTACCAACTGTCTGAGAGATGCTAGAAAAATAGCCCCTTTTATTTTCCTATTTGTAGTGATAAAATCTCATTATTTGGAAAGTCATGCTTGCAATTCTGCAGCTTTTCTATACCAATAGCCAATAAACAACTTGGAAAACAGTCACTCACTCACTCATCTTGAACTCATGGTCCCCCAGAGGGCTGAGGGACCAAAGCTCACCTCAATACCAAATGCCTTCCTTCAGTGGCCATGTCCAGTAGGTCAGCAAGTCCCATTGGTGGATCTGCATCCACTTCTTGTCATGGCTACCTCTAGGCCCCACCCTTTACTGCCCCCAGCCCCAGAGTCCCCTCATAGGTGCTTCCTTTGCCCTGGGTGGATTTCCCCCCCAGCCTCACCTTCATGTTCATTTGTGTGATTCCTGCCTCCTCCTTCTGTTCTTTTCATTTTAATTCATTCACTCACTCATTCAACAGATATTTATTGGAGACCTACTCTGGACCAGGCACTTTTCCAGCTTCTAGTGACATGGCAGTAGCAAAAATAGATGAGATCCCTACTTCCACAGAGCTGGCACTCCAATGGGCACAGGAAGGTATAAGTAAATAAAGCAAATAAGAATGGTATCTCCTGTCTCCTGAGAAGACAGACAATCCATTATCCCCTCAGCTCCCAGTGTGAACTTCAAACACCAATCAGGCCAGGTCAGTCTCTGACAAAAACCTTTCAATGACTTCCTGTTGCACTTAGGATAAAATACAACTTGTAAACGTAACCTACTCACATCAGGCCATGAAAAGTGTTATTTTGGTTTAAAAATATCATTAGTTGAGCAAATAAGGTATCAGGTGTACTTTATGAAAAGCAAATGAATTTTCCAAAGACTGGGTGCCCTCTCCATTTCTTCATTTTCAGTATTTTCAGTGGAGAAATTGAAGATGCATTTTCTTTTGACCAATGTTTTTTTTTCCCTTAAGTTTAGTCCATTTTTTAAAAGGTGGGTTTCTTTTTGATTATCAGGCCATATCCTGGAAAACTGCTATTTGACAAGTTATTTGATCTCTCCAAGCTTTAATTTTCTTATCTGTAAAATGGGAATAGTCATATTTTACCTCATATATTTGTTTGATGAAAAGACATAAAGGATATAGTACCTGCCACAGAATGAATTGCTTAATTAGATGTCCTTTCCTTTTTGAGTGAGTAAAATAGCACTCATCCTTTATTGCTGTAAATAAACTTACAGACATGGGAATAAGAGAACGTCACTGAAGTAAGAATAACATAATTATCTACTCCACAGAACGGTAATGGTTGTTGAGGTTTCTACAGCCTGGGTCACTGGCAACCTGTCACAGCAACTGAGCTGACACGGAGCCTCTGCAGCAGGTATTTTTGTGCAGTTAACCTTCTCTGAGCTGGTGGTTATGCAACATGTTTGTTCCCTGGGCACACATTGTTCCCATGAGGCCAGCACGGTCACTAAAAATCTTACCTACTTTAGAATCTTCCCATTTGTAAATACCACACTATGTCATCAAAAGGCTTCTGGCTGGGCAGAGGAGCTGAGCCACTCCTGGGTTGAAGACTCCCCTCTCGCTCATGTGGCACTTCCCGAGGGAGAGGTGGCACTTCCTGAGGGAGAGATCTCTCTACCCAGCCTTAACCCTCAGTGGCCCTTTAGCTGCCTCACTCCTGCAAACCTACTCTGCATATGCTTTCTTTACCCACTTTTTCTGATCATAAATGTAATATGGGGGAGGGGGAAAGAGAGAAAGAGAACGCACACGTGTACACGCAAGAATACACAATATAGAATAAGAATAAATAATAAAGATCACTAATCATTCTACTCTCTTTCTACCTCTAAATAACAACCTGACTTTGATTGACATTGGTTTATAGAATTCCAGAGCTTTTTGTATTCCTCTACATAGGCATATTAAGCAGTTAAGAGCATGGACCATTAAACAGGACTTGCTGGCTTAAATCCTAGCTGATTTAAATCAGAGGGGAGTCAACCCAGGAGTGGCTTAGCTCCTCTGCCCAGCCAGAAGCCTTTTGATGACATAGTGTGGTATTTACAAATAGGAAACAGGACTTGCTGGCTTAAATCCTAGCCAAAGGGAAATTACTTTTAGCTTTTGTGCCTCAATTTCTTGACCTATAAAAATTAGAAGTTTTCCTGCAGTATTGTCAGGATTAATAAAATAATACATGTAAAAGGGTTATGATAGTGCCCAGCACATAGCAGGCATTCAATAAATGCTATCTGGATGTAATTACATTTAGAAATTGAATTGGGAACACTTAACTGTGTGACCTGGGGAAGAGAAGATGAATGTCTCTTGTTCACAGGGAATTTCTAAGAGCACACAGGAGATACCAAAAAGCATTTGTTAAATGAATGTGAGTGAACCAAAGAATGGTGAACAAAAAATAAAATGCAGCTGAGTAGGTAAGTGACAAAAATGGGCCATGGTAGTGTGAATGCAGAGGAACCCAATGGAAAATTTCTGGATGAGGCAAATCTTTGGGTCTTCGTGATTTTTCTAGAGATGTTAGTAGGCTGTGCACTAGGAACTTGAGTCCTTCTTGGTGGGAAGAGTCAGAACACAAAACCAGGAACTGTTTAGCCTGATCAGTAACTGACCAGGGAGCTCCAGGCCTCCTTCTTTGTTATACTGTGTCTCCTGCTGCTCAAATCCCACACTTACCTTTTTGAAGGAGCTGAAGGCTTCTTCCTGAGTCTGGCCCCTCCTTTGCTATGTGAGTAGAAGAGGCTCCTAATCTGCCAACATGAGAATGCTCCCCTGTTTCTTGGACCTCACTGCCTCCTGCTTACTTGGATTTACTTACAGTCTTGAAGAAATGGCAGGAACCAGTCACTCCCCATGAGGTCTCTGAAAAATCTCTGCAGGACTTCCAACAAAATGTCCCTTCTGATTTTTCAACTCACACCAGGAAACATTAGTAGCTGATAGGCTGCCCTCTGTTTTGGGGGAAAGGCAGTGTTCTAGAATGAACGAAACGTTAATGTTTTACCTCCTGGAGTTCTTAGAAGAGAGCAGTCTTGGGGGCTTGGAGAGGAGTGTGAAGGGGTGTGTGCGCCAGAGGTGCATGGCAGAACCGGCCAGCCGAGGGCCTGTCTGAGGCAGCCATGACACACTGCTCGCGGTGAGGGCTGTTTTCCACACTTGTCAATGCCATTACATCACTCTTTTCCAGTTACAGGAAATCCAGTGTGTGCTGGCCACAGTATTTCCCTGAGATCCAAGGCAAACAAACCGGCCCCTCCTCAGCCCTAGAGGCTGATGGGTGGAGGAAAAGGTAATTAACAGCATCCCTCTGTTAGGCTGAGAGGCTAAGAGGAACTGGCTGGGCAGGTGGACAGTGCTTTCTGAGTGCATATGTGACCAGATGTCAGGGACAATTTGACAGACTACAAGCCCTGGAATCCCAGATTTATAACTTACTAGCTGTTTAAGCTTGGTTAAGACCCTTGGACTTGGCAGGGCTCAGATCCTTCATCTGTAAAATTGGGGAGGGGAGGGTTATAGACCAATTTTCTTCTCTTTTTTTTCCCCCCTTCTGTTACCAAGAATAAAATCCAGGGGTTCTTAACCATTGAGTCACTTCCCCAGCCCCTTTAATTTTTTTTTTCCATTTACGGACAGGGTCTTGCTAAGTTGCTGAGACTGGTTTTGAATTTGGGATCCTCCTGCCTCAGCCTCTCAAGCCTCTGGGATTATAAGCATATGTACCACTGTGCCTAACAGTAAGAACAATTTTCATGGGACATTTGAGAATTAAACGAGAGCACCCACTGAAGTGCTTTTTTTTTTTTTGAGCAAAAGTTTTTTGAAATAAAAAAATAAATAAATCCATACCAAAAGGGGCAGAAACCCTTAGTGAGCAGCTTGATGAATGTACAGAGGGAATGTGCCCAAGTCCCCGCTACCTATATCAAGACCACTAGCAGCTCACAAAACCACCTGTGCTCCTTCACAATCACCACTCCCACGATTCTGACTTCTACCACTAAAGATCAACTTTTTAAAAATAAGTGAAATTATTGTCGTAAACCACCATCCACATGAAAATACAGAACATTTTTTGAGCAAACCAGATGGCTGTCCATTCTACCCAAAGACAGCTGCTCTTTTGACTTACCACAATGAATTTTGAATTTGAATTTTTATAAATGGAATTGTGCAGATTATCATATAGTATATGCTCTTCTGTATCTATTTGTTTTTACTCAGTCATGTGCTTGGGAGATTCATCCACATTGCTGTGTGGAGCAGACACTCATTTCTTCTCCATTGCATTATGTGGATATTCTGTATTTGTATATTTTCTTGTTAATGAGTATCCAGTTCTTGTTAATGAGTATTTTCTTGTTAATGCACATCCAGTTTTTTTGCTATTACAAGTAATGCAGCTGTGAACATCATTGTACATGTCTTCTGGTACATCACATATACACATTTATGTTTGTTATGTATTTGAGTGAAACTGGCTGCATCATAGGGTTCATATGTGTTCAGTTTTAGTAGATAATGCCAAAAAGTATCAACATTATAAAAATTTTCCTGCTAGGAGAGTCTGTGAGAGTTCCAGTTACTCCACAACCTCACCAGTGTTTGAGATTACAAGTTTTTTTTTTTTTAATTATCTATTCTGATGAGAATGTAGTATTATATCTAGTTTTAATTTGGGTCCCCTGATGAGAAAGATGTTTAGCTCTTACATTGGCCATTTTCATATCCTCCTTTGTGAGGTGCCTGCTAGTCTTTTTGCCCAGTTTTCTATTAGATTACCCTTTTCTTATTGATTTATATGATTTGAACAAATATATTCTGGATACAGATCCTATATTAGATATGTGCATGCAAATATCTTCCCCACTCTAGAGTCTGCCTTTCATTCCCTTAATATCTTCCAATGATCAGAAGTTTTAATTTTTAATATTGTCTGATTTTTTGATATTTTTCTCACAGCTAGTGCTTTTAACATCCTGTTGAACAAATCATTCTTGTCCCAATATGATGAAAATATTTTCCTAGGTTAACTTCTAAACGAGTACTGCTTTTCTTTTCACAGCTGAAGTTGATTTTTTGAATGGTGTACAGGAGGGGAGCCCATATGGGAACCTGACTGACTCAGCACTGTTTGTTGTAAAGGCCATCTTTTCTCACTACAGAATAATGTCACAAGTCTGGTCACTGTGTATCTGATCTTCTCTGGATTTCAACCAATTGGTTTATTTGTTTTCATGCCATCACTGCACTTTTTAAATTACTCTAACCTTATAATAAATTTCAAGTCTTCCAGCTTTCTTTTTCTCCAAGTTTGCCCTCCCTAACACCCTGCCCCCCGAACCTTGCTAAAATTTTGATTCACATTGCATTGAACCTGTGGACCAATTTGGGAGGAAAAATATTCCTTTGATCAATAAATATGGTAGAGCCCTTCATTTATTTATATCTTCTTTAAATTATTTTAGTAATGTTCTGTGGTTTTCAGTATAGACATGTTATGCATCTTTCTTTAGATTTATTCTTGCATATTTTATGCTTGTTTGATGCTATTACATTTAAAAATTTCATTTCCTAATTGTTGCTAGCATAGAGAAATATATTTTGGATTTTTTTCTTTTTTATACTGAAATCATATCTACCAACCTCATTAAGTTGTTATTAATTTTAGTAGCCTATTTGTAAATTATTTAAAATTTTGTATACATTATACTATACAAATAATGACAGCTCAATTGCAGTTTGGGGGGATTTATAGTACTTACATTTTTAATTTCAGAAGTAGATACATTTATGTAAAGTAAAACCTAAGTTTTTCATCCTTTTTAATATTCACCTTATAATTTTGTGATTATGTTTAGTAAACAGACCTATGTCTCAAAAGCAACACCTACATCTATTAACAGAAAATTCAGTTTCCAAATATACCTCCAAAATTTCTTACATGGAAAATAATTTTTTCTTTCTTTCTTTTTTCTTTTTTAAAATCAAGGTGGAAACTAATCTTCAAGGACAAAAGTACTAAAAAAAAGAATTGCAAATTTGCACATTTAGCAGTAGGAATCCTATCATAGTGCAATGATTTCATGTAATTTATGATTGGTAAATATTTTTCAGAAGCTGTTTTCTACCCAAATGTAATTAGACACTTCATTCAATATAATTGTCAATGTCAACTGAGAATCTAGCATGTAGAGAAGGAATGGTAAGTATATGATATATGGCCTTCATACCCACCTCTGGTAATCAAGGCAGACATTGCTAATCAATCATGACATTCTTCTAGTATGAAACCCAGAAGTGGCCTCAGAATCCTTCTCCATGCAGGGTCCCAGCAATCACTACCACCAACTGATAAGATTGGCCATCCTTAACTTAGAATTTCTGGCTACATTCACCTTCATGATATTCTTAAACCTCCTAGAATCCCATTCATTTCAATGTAATCTTCCTAATTTTTCCTCTGAATTGTCTGGAATTCTGTGAGCTGTGATTGAATCATGCCACATTTAAAGTAGCATCAAAGAAGGCAAGTGGCTGGTTGCCTGGCTCTATCCAGCAGGCCTGCTTGAATTGTCAGTTCCTTAGTGAGGTAAGCTCAGGACAGGTCCTACATCTCACCTTAGCAGTTTTAAAAACTTATTTAATCAGCTGACCCTGAGTTGCTCAAGCTTCAGGCACTAACTCATAAAGAAACTAACATGAGACAGATTTATAAATCAGAATGCCAATCAGCTGATTTGTAGTGGGAACATAAAACTTTCCAAAAGGGTAGAACATTGGTTTCCACTGCTCTGGAGATTTCTTCCCTTGTACAGAAACACCTGGGAAACTAAATTAGGAATTAGAAGTTTGGTGGTTGTAGGCACAGACTCTGGAGGACCTCAGAATGTAGGGCTTGGTGATTTTAGGCAAATTGTATTTAGCTTCTAAACCTCAACTTATAGGGAGCAGTTAATAACAATTACCTCTGAGGATTGGTGCATTAATGCATACAGGTCATTTACTAGCTTGGGATCCAGCACACTATAAGTAGTCAATAAATGTTAAATAATTGGTATAGACTCAGTACAAAGGGCATAGATTGTTTTTAGAGGACTGTGTTGTCTATACCATAGAAAATCTTTGAACTTCTACTCCTTTCTAGAGGCCAAAGTCATGGAGTTCATCTAATAAAGTAGCTGTTACTTTCTGTTGAATAGTTTTGAATGAATGCTAATAAATTCTGAAACACTGACTCTCTATTCCTTAGATTTCATGTCCATTTTCACCCTCTTCCAATAGCAGTCACCATAAGGTTAGATAAAATAAAAGGACTAGGTTATTTATTTTTATACCAACTTATTTATATTGGTCAGATTCTAACCCTGAGGATATAGGCTGGCCATCTTGTTTAGACAACAGACTGAGAATACTTGATCTTTTGACTGGATTGAGGAAACTCCTTTGATAAAACTTTGGAGGAGTTAAGGAAGAGCACCAAGGTGCAGGAGTGAACATTTTTATTGTGTTTTTACTGGAGATGAATGAAGAAGGAGATGTGAATGTTTCCTGAGTGTCACCGTGTGTCCCAGGTACTTCACACGTGCCTTCTCACTTCACCTTCATGACAATTCTTTAACATGGGTCTTTTCTTCCACACTTTATGAACAATGTCTAGAAGGTGTGAATAACTATCCTGAGACCCCACAACTAGCAGGTGGTGGGTTTAAACAGCTGGTGGACTTGAACCCAGAGCAGTCTGATCTCAGAGTCTGTGCTCCCTCTGGGACACCTTACGAGCTATGTTTAGCTGAGTTCTTGGAGAACGACAGTGCTTCTTACCTATCTCCAAGATTATAGTTTGAAGACCTGTACCTAGTAGTGTGATCGCAAAATCATGGGCCATTAAAATAAGTAGTAGAAATTAGTTCAGGAGTTACAGAATGATATCCAGAGGGGGAAGGAAAGTGTTTAAACCAATGGTTTTCAGACGAGTGTGCCAGATTCTCCAGGAAGGTGGGATCTTACCTGGAGTGATTCATTCTATCTAAGGTGGCCTAAGAATCTACACTTCTGACAGTGTCACAAATGGCACTGATGCTGCTAGTCCAGAGATCCCACTGTGAGAATGGAGTAGACAATGGGACAGAGAGTGAAATACAAAATAGAAGCTTTATGTTCCTAA